ACAACTTTTTTGAAAAAAAAATTAATAAGATGATACCCTCAATTCCAGACTGTACTCTGTAAAGTTTGGTGCCAAAGTATGAAAATCATATACTGTTTGAACATGTTATTCTCTGTTGTAGACAGAAATCACTTTCTTGCTCTTTTCATATTGATTAGATTTTACATGACTTTATTCCATCTGATATATCAATCCTCTGTGAAATTTTGTCTGCTGCTAGTGTTTCAATCATCACTCCATGAATTCCCTTCCAGCCTCCAACTCAGGGTAGCTGATCAAGCTCACATAGGCCCTTAGCTGGCGTGGATGTGCTTATGTTTTTCTAGGCCTCGTAAAAATAGTTACATTTCAGGAGAACAGATGTTATTTTACCTGTTTTGTTCACCTTCTAGCCACGCCCACAACCTAAGGCAAAAATGGGGACATCATCCCAGCATATGTCACACTCACAGCCCAGCATGGCAGAGCATGCCTAGGGCATAGGATAGGCCTAAATATGCACTTCCAATGTTGACTGTAAAACGAATGGACATGATGGAAAATCTGCTCTTTCTTGTAGAGCTGCATCGTTCATTACACACCACACGTAGGCCTACGTCATGTTCATGTAGGCCCTAAATGACGAAAGTAGTACGCGTATTCTGGACTTGGTCTAGAACAGGCATGATGTGTGCATGCATGGTGTGATCGACGACGGCGTTCAATCATCATCCATGTCAACCTGTGCTAGATGTGGTGCAAGAATCTGACACGTTGATTATCACTAAATCATCTTCATAAATAGCAGAACTCGCAAATAAAGTACCTCTATTGCTGGAACTCCTTGCCCAGGCTGAAACACTTACATGTACTTGACGTTGAGAACGATCAGACTATGGCAAAAATACCCAGAATTCCACAATAGAAACTTCGTGACCTTTGAACCATGCCGGCCTTGCGCTAGCGCGGGTCCAAGGTAACTGTCTACGGCTTTTTGTTTGTTTGTTTGTTTGTTTGTTTGTTTGTTTGTTTGTTTGTTTGTTGGGCTGTTGGGGTGTTGGGGTGTTTGTTTGTTGGTTTGTTTGTTTGTTTTTGCATGAAGGCCAATTAGAAAATAGTGTTTTATAGTTTTGAGAAAAGACGTCGAAATTTAAAAGCTAAAAGATCTTGCCCTGATTTTAACGCCAAATGC